AGATGACATATCAAATGTCGTGTTTTTTTTGTTTTGTTTTTTTTTTTTAAATATATGCCTGTTTGGAATTTGATGCCAATAGCATGTTCCAAAAAAGTTGGGACGGGGGCAACAAAAGACTCGTAAAGTTGTGTAATGCTAAAAAAAAACACCTGGTGATTAGTTGGGAGTAATATGATTGGGTATAAAAACAGCATCCCAGAGAGGCTGAGTCTTTCAGAAGTAAAGATGAGGAGGGGTTCACCTCTGTGAAAGACTTTGTGAGCAAATAGTGCAGCAATTCAAGAATATTGTTTCTCACCGTAAAATAGCAAATAACTTTTTTGCTTTTCATCATCTACAGTACATAATATCATTAAAAGTCTGTATGTAAGGGACAAGGCCAAAACCCAGTATTTTCTGGCCATGATCTTTGGGCCCTCAGGTGGCACTGCATTAAAAACAGTCATGATTCTGCAGTGGAAATCAAGATAGTGTAAAAGCACATTCTGCATGTATTACAACAGCATTGCTCTGTATTAAGAGTCCAGGTGCTAAGCTGACCTGCCTGCAGTCCAGACCTGTCACCCAATGAATGAAACGCGTTCACTCAAATTTGTTGATGGTAGAGCAGAGGGGCACTGAAATCTCAGGAAACCCTCAAGTCTTCTGGCTTTTTCTTTTAGTTAGGCTATAATAGCTAGACCTGCCGGAGTCTCTGCTGTACTCTTTTAACTCTGTATACTGTTTTTCAGTCACTACTAACAGAACTGTCTGTTTTTTTGAAAAGCTGATCAACTGTGCGGTCTGATGATCTTCCTTTATTTGCCTTGACCAGGTGCCCCCTGCTTGTTACTTTCTGGACCAGTTGACCACCATGGAGTTTTCTTCTGTCCAACACTTTGCAGAAAGCCTTACCTGCATGCCACTGACCCTTCTGATGATACTACTGCGTGCAGAGACTCGAACTTGTAGACATTGCTTCACCTGCCTCACAATACTCTGAGCACTTCATACTCTCATATTCATACTAACAGATCATCGTTATGGGCTTGTAACAGTAGTTATTCTCTGTGATACACTTCTAACAGTAGTTACTGCTTCACTGGTAACAATCCCATTTTCACAGATCTGTTTCTCATTGTCATTTTGCTCATATTGCTCGTTATTTTTTGCTGTCTCGTGTCGATCAGAGGTGGATGGGTTTCCTCTTGCTCATGGGGGCTTGGACCTGGATTTTTCTGTAAAGCTGCTTTGTGACAACTTTTGTTGTAAAAAGCGCTATATAAATAAACTGACTTGAAAGCTTTTTCAAACATAACCTCATTGAATGCATAGTTAGAGCAGAGTTTTTCAAAGTACTTGATGTTTTGGATAACCATTTACAATTTATGGCATTGTTCTGTAATGATTTACAAGTGAAATAAATCATTTTGAAATCGGATGAATCTTTTTGAATCACCCTGTATATAGTCCAACAGTGAAGCAGCAAGCGTTCTTCAAGAAATGTGTCCAGAAATATGTGCCTTGTTTAATCAGATAGAAACGCGAGTCAAATTATTTCTGGGTGTGCCTGTGTGCTGAGGCTGAACGAAGTTTTAGTGGTCTTCAAAGACTGAAAACATGGTTCTGTAGTTTCATGACACAAGAGCATCTTAGTAAAATACTTTATTGTTTTGATTAGGAATGCACCTATGGGAATTCTAGGCCAATGCAGCTATATTTTATGTACATACAGTAGTATGCAAATGTTTGAACACTCCTGGTCAAATTACATGTTTTGTTTTTTTTCTAAGTAAAAATAAGTTAACACATCCTCTACAGAGAACACACTTTAATACGGCATTTTTCTGCTAATTTTAATGACAATTTCAATTATCTGTTGAGTAACATATTATAGAAAAAAAACAAAAAATGTGCCATGACTTTTGCACAGGCTGCATTTTATGCTTTATTTTTTCCCAATTTGTTGAATTTAGCAAAACATATTGTGCATTAAAATGTCCAGAAGTAGGGTTGGGAATCTCTAGGCACCTCATGATTCGAATCGATTATGATTCAGAGGGCGGCGATGCGATGATAAAATGATTATCAGTGCATCTTGATGCATCTTTTTTTTCTTTACAGGATTTCTTTTTTCGCAGTGTGACAACTTGGAACTTTTAAAGCAAAGTATTTGTAATTATCCATAATGAATTTACTTCCAATATCTTTTATTAGTATGAACTGGAAGGCTATCATTCACTGCTCTTGTTTGGAGCACATGAGACGCAGGCTGCCACTCATCTGCGATGAGTGTCCATGCAGCAGATTACAACTATTCTACCCATTTTCTTCAGTGATTCTATAACTTCAGTTCTGGTCTAGTTGTAGAGAGTGGGGGTCGCTGTGTCAGTAAAATATCTTTGAGACAAGACGCTGTATCTCGGCCCCAAAGTATGCAATATAGCGTGAAAGCCCTGGTTTTCAACGACTGAGTACGGACGCAAATCCTTGGCAATAAAAGTTGCAATAGAGTTTGTAGTTTGCTTCGTCCTTTCCGAGTTTGGTGGAATCTTTGACATGGCTTGATCGATGGTCCTCTGATTGGCAGCAACTACATCCGGGCAGAAACATGTAATATGGTTTCCCCCTCAACTCTTTTACTGACCGGATGCGGCTCCACATCAGAATTTCATAGATTTCTAGGTGAAAATAAAATAATCCTCCTTTGCAGTAAAATAAAGCTCTGCTGATGGTTCTGTCGCAACCAAGAGCTATCTCTTTTTGCCCAGGGTCTGGACATTTATAAGTAACTCTAATATTATCTATACTATTGCCCTAATAACTTGCAGTAATGCAATGTCTTCAAAAAGAACTAAAAGAATCAAAGAATATCAACAAAAATAAAAAAGGATAAAAAGGAACGAAAAAGACTTCAGCTGCTGAGGTCTTATGGAAGGAAGGAAAAGTCCTTCGCTTTATTGAGCATCAAATAGCAAGATGGTTCCTGGTCAACCACAATGCAAATAACATCTCAAAATATCCCTTTTTATTCCCCTCTGGGGTGATGAGGTAATCTCCCCACCCCATTTACGCAATTTAATACCATTTTAGTCCCCATCGTGTCCAAACCTTACCTCTTTTTTTGGTAACCTTTAAAACCAAAAGCATATGATGTCTTTTTTAAAAAAACCCACTCTGATTCTTGTTCTCTCCTTACAGGGCCCTCTTGCGCAACTCTCCATATATGTATATGAGTGTGTGTGTGTGTGTGTGTGTGTGTATATATATATATCTATATATACACACACACACACACACACACACACAAGAGTGTACCTCAGCTATAACTTAAACTGTCATCTGGTCCAGCTCTCTTCTGTGAGCTCAGAAGCTCTTCCCCCATTAGAGAGTCTACAGCATACAGTCCACTGTCTGCTTCCTTATATTATCTTTTTAGGAAAGCTCTCTAGTCAGCCAGTATTTAGTTTATTGATTGGTAATCAGGGAATGTTTTATTCAATCTTTTCCATCAAACACAGTTTTAACAGTAAATGATCTTAAATGCCGGGCGGCACGGTGGTGCAGTGGGTAGCGCTGTCGCCTCACAGCAAGAAAGGCCTGCGTGGGTTTCCTCCGGGTACTCCGGTTTCCTCCCACAGTCCAAAGACATGCAGTCAGGCTAATTGGACATGGAAAATTGTGAGGTGTGATTGTGGGTGTAAATGTATATGTGTATGGTGACCTGTCCAGGGTGTATCCTGCCTTCTGCCCAATGACTGCTGGGATAGGCTCCACATTCCCCCATGACCCAGAAGGATAAGTGGTTTAGAAGGTGTGTGTGTGTGTGTGTGATCTTAAATGCTGGAATTAATGTAGCCTATAACAGCTAGTTCACCTAGCTAGTAGCTAACAAAAGGGCAAAGAGAGAAATTTAAGACGATCATCGATAATTTGGGGACGAATAGACTTACTTGCATTTATATTCACTCCAGCTGGTTTCCTGATACGTTTAATCTGCAACGAGAAACTGTCAAACACCATGTGAAACTGATGTCAGTTTTTCGTTCTCCAGCTTCTTGTTTCAATTTTCCCATTCCACCTTAAATGGTGCAGCAGTTACATTCTGGCGCCTCAGGTTCCATTTAAGGTGGAACGGGAAAATTCGAACATGAAGCTGGAGAATGAGAAGCTGACTTCAGCCTCGTAAAAAGGAGAACATTGAGAGACATTTTACAAGAAACTGTTCTACTTTTGTGGAAATGTTTCCAGGTGGTGATGCAAGAAAAGCAGCTACAGCTGAGCTGAAGCTTAAGGCAGAGCAAAGAAAGTCTGCATTTTTGTTTGTATTAGATTTTTAGCCTAGACTAGGATATAAGCACGTACTGAGACACACGTTTAATTTTTGTTGAAAAATGACTTATTAACATTTGGGTTGCCAACCCCTGCACTAGTTATTAATGTAGCGTGTACGGCACAGACTGTCTGAGCACTGCACTTCCGCACTTTGCAAAGTTCTGCCTTTTGCGTCAACATTATGTTATGAATTAAAATTTAGAAAATCGATTTTTGATATTTGTGAATTCATTTAGAATCATCCACGTCCGCATCGCGATGCCTCTAAGAATTGACCCCCCAACCCCCACCCACCCCTATGCAGAAGTGTGTTCTCTGTAGTGGATGTGTACAGTTCTTTTCAATGGTGGCTACTTACTGACAACTTTGTCCCCCACATTTTTAAAATGGATATTACTCACCTGTCAGAACTGAAAGCTTTTTCCCCCGTTAATGCTACTCCAATCATTTTGTTGAGAGAGAAACAGAGACAGCTAAAAAAAAACGATGGACATAGCATCTGGCCCTTGTTAATAATTGATTTATTAAATTGATGTTTGACGAGTACATAGTAATTGTCAGAAATTGCATTTTTGTCTAAGTGCTGTTATTGTTTCAGATGTAATGGGCTGAGAGAGTTTTCTCAGAGAGAGTTTTGCCATGGCCCGCCTCCTTTTATCATCCTTAACATGCAGATGTGGAAGTCTGAAGATCTCTCCTATGTACCTTACCATCTGGCTTTGTCAGATCACAGGTATATTTATATGGATCTTCTCTTTCCCTCTTTTTAAAAAAATAATTTTCTGGATGATTATTGGTTTATATATGATGACGGCACAATCAGTCGTTGGCTATAATGTCAATAATGTATATCCATGCATACAATAAAATAAAGAACATGACCTTATTTAACTTCATATTTCATCCCTGTGTCTAAAATTTAATTCTTTCACATAATCTCACACAGTGATTCTGTGTTTCTATAGATACTCACTAGAAGGTGCCACACTCTTCAACAAGGAGGAACATCACTACTCTGCAGCCTTCCAAATTGATGGTTACTGGATGCACTATGATGGTCTTCGGAGCGACAACCTAATCCTACTGAACAAGCCACCAGAGCTACTGCTCCTGTCATCACTGGTTTATGTCCGCGCCCCAGATAAATGAGAATGGAAGAGTGTACTTGTTTGACGGGATGGTCCTTTTTATCTTTTTTACAACTGTCTTATTATGTATTCTTTTTTTTTTTGTCTTTAATAATCATTGAATATTAAGATGGTTAATTAATTTTCATGTAGATATTGTACATTAAATGATTGCAAATACTTTTGTTAATATCTGAAATTTTTCTGTAAGGATAGGGATGTCACTGATATATTGTAACTCGCTTTATATACTTATACTTTTTTACTTTTGTAACTAGCGCTCTAGTTTGCTGGATCACAGCATCTGTAAATTGCTGAGTTAAGCAGCTTCACTTCTGCTGTGCTTGGAATCCAAGAAAGTGAGAATGGACTATAGTAGTTCTGGGCTCGTATGCAAAACTGTAGAAATAATATTTTAAAAAACAAGCTCAGAACTTTGGATTACATATTTATCAAAGGTATCTTATGTTCTGTGCTAAATAATTGGAGTTAAAGATTCTCAGTTTTTAAATTTTAAATTTGTACACCAGCCCCCATTCCCCAAAAATTTCAGTACTCAATAAAAATATGAAGTGAACAGCATATTTTAAATAAGTATCCTTATTTTTGATGTATTACGAATTCATTTAGGGAAAAGACCCACATGAAGGCACTTTAAAACTGGATGAGGAATGGCATTAGTTGCGCCTTCATACGTTCATATTAGGTGAATTACAGATTGACAAATCTTCCACCCAATAATCATTCTTTTCTTGTCTTGTACCATGGACTGTATACTCACTAATATGAACCCTGGTTGAGCTATTTGCTGGAAGGCCCGTGTCCCATGGCCAAAGTCATGGGCCCATCAAACCACACATTAATGTTATGAAGGCTAACAAAATTTGGATTATAAGGAATTTAAATTCAAATCTTTACTAGGTAGAAATTGTCAGTGTTTTAAAGCGCACTTCATCGTTGCAGCCAGCAATGTTTTACATCAAGATATCAAAAATCAACTGTTGATTGACTGGTTGATATCTCATTGTTGTCTGCAATCGCTTCCCCCCCCACACTTTTTGTCTCTGATTATTGTACTTGCTGTGCAGAAAAAGACTTTAAGCAGTTACAGACATTGAGGGAAAACAAATATTCAGACACCTTCACTGTAAAAAATGTGACCAGTAGTTACTTAAAAAATTATGAGCAAAATAATTTCTGAGCAAAATTACTTTATATTTACTCACTATCAGGGGAAAATATATTTACATTTACTAAATATCTGGGGAAAACTGGTTTATATTTACCACACTTTACTACAGCTGTGGCTGCTAGAACTTCACCATAAAAATATAGTGGCAAGGTATGAGACATTACAGTAAGCTTTTTTGGCAACCATAAATGAATTGTTCGGTCAATTACTGTGGGGAAAAAAGCATATATTGTAAATCTTTATACAGTACATTATTTTAAAAACAACAGATATACTGTTAACATAATTACAGTCTACCAGTGATAAACATAGTACAACCATGACATATTACAGTATTTTATTTTAAAGTTCAGCTTTACAATAAATTACCAGCAGCTGTAGTTGCCAGAATTTCATTGCAAAAAAATACAGTACAGCACATAAGGAATTACAATTAGTTGGCATATATTTAACAGTCAACAACAGCTAATGATAAATTACAAAGGAAATAACAAATAACACTCATTACAATCCAAGGTACAGACTATTTTGATGAACTTTAAGAAACTTTTCTTGCATGATTCAATAAAATGTCCAGGATACTCACAAAGCAGTGCTAAGATGCTGAAAAAAACAGCATGCATCCATATATATAAAGGATAATCCACTGTGGAATGAATAAAGATCATGAAAATAATTAGCCACTTGCCCTGGATGATCAAGAATAATGAGTCACTGAGTTCAGACTTGACCAAAGAGGGTGCTCATCATGGGATAGAGTCTCACACGGACATGATGTTGGATGATTACTGGAACTTAAAGTGTGCACTGTCATCAGTTCTGCATAAGGACACACATGTTGGCCATCAGGTGTTCACTGGGGACTGGCACAACCCTCTCTGTAGCCAGAAAACAGAAACAAATCTAAAAAGTTAGATGGATGCAGTGCTTGAGCATGGAGGCCTTCTGTTGCTCAACTGATCTCCAATGAAGTATACATGGGAGAAACCAGAATTCTGGAATACAGTGTTGCCGGTTACTTTTATAATTGATAGAGTATGGGAGTGAAAGGTTAAAAAAAGGTCACATTTCAATTCTAAGACATCATCAGCATTTGTTTCACCTCTGTCGACTAGCAGCCTAAATGTGCAGATGCCTGCAGTCAATCAGATTCCTTAGCAACAAACTACTACACCCTAACAACCACTTATCACTGTCTGTATACAAAGAAACAGATGGACTCTAGTCTGTAAGTCAGGAGTACTGTAAAAATAGCCAGTGAGAATATATGTAGAGTATGTTTGGGAGAGAGAATGAACATCTGAATCCTACCTGTTAAATATACTCTTAACAGATGTGAAGGTCTCTGGTCAATTTCTTTGTCGCTTGCAGTTTGTGAAGATGGATTCCTCATGACTGCATCTAAAATGAAGAAATAAGTGAGCAAAAATAGTAATAAACACTTACCATACAAAACATAAGTAAAAGTAAAAAAATAACAAGAAAAAGCAAAGGAATGCAAAGCAATGCAAGAACGAGCAGGTTACTGTGAATAACATTGTACTATATCTTTTACAATAGCACACAAACTTTAAAGTTCTATTGTTTTCATACAACAGTGGACCATGTCTTGTGCTAAAAGACGGAATAAAATATTTAGCGTACGATGTACTAATATTACAAAGAGCAATACCATAAAGATACTGTAAGTTAAAGTACCTGGGACAATTCCTGATCAGTTGAGAACCAGAAGCAGCAGTGGATGGCTGTAAAAGATAAAACATTTGGTAAAGGTTTAAAAGACCAGCTTCAACAACTGAAACAGATACAGGCACATTTTTGTTGGCTAGAAGAAGAACATATAACATAAGGAGAAGAAAGAACAGATTTCACAAACTTTAGAGTGATATAGGAGTGTTAGCATGTAAAATCACTTTGCGGCTAGTTGCCAAATCGCAGCTCAGTTGACCTTATTAAACTAATGCTTTAACTGTACCAGTCACTCGACATCTCCCCCTTAGATTTCTGTGTTTAACCTCTAAACTTGTGTGAGAAAAGCATCGAACATGCTTTGTGGTGTGTGAGCCCGTTAGCCTGCTGGCCACCAAGCTAACAGCCCCACACATCACAGACCGTAATTAGCTAGGTAGCTAGTTTCTGCGTTTCTGTCATTCAAACACCAGTCACTCTGTCGTCATCTAAAAACAGGGGATTCTGTGGTAGGAGGCTGCTGGCACAGACATAAAAGCCAGACTGAAATTGGTGAAAACTTAGGGGGCCAAAATCCATCTGGGAGAATGTCCTGTGGACAGATGAGACAAAATTTTTTTTTGCTTAAGCACATCATTGTCCTTTAAAGAAACAAACACTGTCAAACATGGAGGAGGTTCACAGATGTCTCGGGGTTGCTTTGCTGCTTCTGGAACCAGGTGCTTTGAATATGTGCATGGAACACTGACAAAGAATTCTGGAGCTCAACATAGGGCCCAGTGACAGTAAGCTAAGACTTTGCCAGGTTATGGGTGTTTTAGCAGAACAATGACACAATGCATACATTAAAAAGCACCCAGAAATGGTTTAAAATAAAGTGCTGCGCTGTTTCGAAATGGCCTTAAGTGAGTCCAAATTTCAATCCCATAAAACACCGGTGGAGAGATATCAAAGCACTTTAAAGTAATTTTTTTTCCATCTTCATCATCTTAATCTTGATCCAGCTAGGGTCATGGTTGCAATAGGGAAAGCAGAGAAGCCTGGATGACCCTGTCCCCCGCCACTTCCTCCAGCTCTCTCTGGGGTATCGTGAGCCACTCACAGGCCAACTTGGAGATAAAATCCCTCCAGCAGGTCCTGGCACGACCTTGGGATCTTGTCCCAGTTGGCCGTGCCTGGTAAACCTCCAGCCTTTAAAATAAATACCAGCAAACAGTAAAGTCACTGTTTACAGGTTTATTATTATCCTTTAACAATAATATATACACATACATATGTTAAAGATCTATGAGGCCAAGGCCGAAACATACACACAATCACGCATGCATGCATGCCCACATGCCCACACACTTTAAATCAAGTCAAGTTAGGTCAGTTCAAACTTTTTCAATAAAGGAACAAAATGCAGTTCCTCTGGAATACAGTGCTAAATTTAAACACAGAATAGCAGAAGATAAGAGGGTAACAGTACAGAACTCAATGAATACTATGTATACACAACAATAAATTATGCTAACATTAAGGACAGGACATCAGACAAAAAGAAGAATTGTAGACAACAAGACTGAAGACAAATGTGCAGTTCTTGACTATTGCAGAAATGACCACTGTATGTGTTATTCAACAGTATAAGGCGTAAACTTAGTCCTAGCAGCAGTGAACACTGTTAGAGCTCAGAGAGTGTGTACGTATACAAAGTGTCTTGTCCTTGTTAAGATAAAAAAAAGTCTGTCTCATGTAAAGTAACCAGGTGTAGAGATGACTGTCTAGAAGTCCACCAGGCAGAAAGTAAATGTTCATCTGTCTGGAGGACTCCAAAGCTTGCATCCAGATGGGAGGCATGAGAACAGTCCATGTAGGGGTAAGAGGGATCTTTCCTGATGATGCAGGCAGTCTTTATATACCATTTTTTGTAGATGGTCTCGAAGGCAGGAAAACCTGATCCAGTGATGGAGTGGGCAGTTTTCACCATCTGCAGCAGTGCTTTCCTATTGGACACAGAGCAGTTTCTATACGAGACAGTAATGCTACAGAACTCTTTATATCAATATAAAGAAAAAAAGAAGCAAAAAACACACAATTAAGTACATGAAACAAGTATGTTTGACATGTAAAAGCAAACTTTCGTATTTTCCTCTATTACTACTGTTGCAAAAGACCAGTCTCAGATTTCTTCATGCACATTGTGTCACATACCTGAGTAGTCATCTATTTAAAATGCACACTTAACACGTGTGCAATTACTATGTTCTACTAATTAGTATTCGTTGTACTCTACCAAACATACTAAATGTTGTTC